CCGGGGGAGTGTGGAGGAGAACCGGACAAGCGAGGGCGAGAGGGGTGGCTGGGAGTGCTCCTCGGGCGGGAAGGCGGGGAGGAGGGAAAGGCGAGCGAGCGAGAGAGAGTGTGCGTGTGTCTCCCCCCCCACACACACACACACTTCGCGAAACGTTGGCTACTTTGGGGAGGCGCTGCTGCTTCTCGGGGGTCGTTTGGGAAGTTCCTCGAGTTCGTGCGTGACTATAGGTTTTGTTTCAAAAAGAAATTTAAGTCGAGAAGAAGGGGAGGGTCTGAAGAGCCAAGCTTCCTCCCCCTGGACTTCCTTTTGTTTACCAGCAATTCGTCCCCCCCTCCCCCGTCTTTCTTTCTCTTTTTCTTGCCGCTCCCTCTCCCCGCCTTACACAAACTCCTCGATGTTGTTACCTTCTCCGTCCATGTGTTGCATCTTCTTCTGTTTCTGGCGCTAAACTCCCTGCTTTGCGATGGGGCACCTTCCTTCCTGTCTGTTCGGTGCTGGTGGTGGTGATTGTCTGTCTGGGGGAACCTGAGGAGCAGAGGCCTGTGGGAGCTTTAAAACTCCCCTGGACAGAAATGGGGGAAACCTTCCCTTGTCTGTAGATTCCCTTATGAAACCTGAGTTCCCAATTGATCCATGTGGAGATGGTGGGGCTTCTCCCCCTCTTTTGGAAGAGGAGGGGGGGGTTTGTCAACCTCAGAGGGAACCTTCTCTGTTTACCCCTCCCGCCAGCTGCTCCTGCAAGCCAGACTTTCCTCTCTGGTTTTATCCTTTCCTTGCTTGACTTCTCATCTTACTCCCCTGCCCCCACAGCTCAGATGTGTGTTCTCAAATTATTCCTAATCCATCTGAGCTTTCCTCTCATAAGTGGCTATTCTTCTGATTCCTTCCCCATGTCTTTTTCATTAACCAAATTGAACCTGCCCTGTCCTATGCCACTAAATCCTCGCTGCATTTAACGATCCACAGTCCTGAAACCTCACTTTCCCAATCAATGTTTTAAATTTCCTCTGGGATCCAGCAATCGCCTGCCACTACTGGTGCTCTGTGCATTTCTGGAGGGCTCCCTGTAATGAAATGGGATGCCCATTCACCAGATGAGTGGTGTCTTTGTGAAAACGAGTATGCTTTGCCTCAGATTAATAACTTACCATTCAGAGTAGTCTATTTCCAGCTGTTTAAGAAAACAAGGTGTGTTTTCAGTTACCTGTTCCTCTTTCCTAGGCACAACAGCTGGGAACCTGAAGAGAACATTCTTGACCCCAGGCTTCTTTTGGCTTTTCAGAAGAAGTGAGTAGGACTGCCAGGGTTGGGGATGGGGGGAGGAAGGGGCATGGTTTCTTCCAGCAGACCTGCTGGGCTTATGGACACAGAATACAGAGCAGGCCATTGTGTATTCATTGTTCCACCTAAATCAGCCAGACCTTCTTTGATATCTAAATATGAAGGGGTTTAAGAGTCTGGTACAGTTAACGACCAGTGTGGAAACAAATATAAAACTGGTTCAGGGTGTTCTCAGACAGTGGTTAATTTGTCCTGCTTTTCCTTCTGGGCTGGATGAATTGACTAAGTAGATAAAGCCTCTTTCTCCTGTTTTACATGCTGTATTAGCACCGTTCATATGCAGCAATGTTAAGTAGGGGGAGGGCCCCTTAAACTAGTTGGATCATGAATTAGTTGTACTATTTAATTTCAGTGTGTTGTTAGTGGGGCACATTCGTTGTCTAATTAAGGAAAGAAAAAATTAAAAAGTGAAATGGGCAGGAGTGTGATAATTACATTTCAAATTATTCTGTTTCTTTTCCCTTACAGTAGCTTTTAGTGCTGTTGTTTCTTCTATGTGTGAGATTGCAACAATAACTCTTAATATATTTATCATTTTTTCAGTTTAATGTTTTTGGCGATAAACCATTATCTTGTGAAATTATGCTGGTGTAATGCTAACAGTGTTACTTTTGGAGGCAAATTGTTTCAAACTGAGAAATCTCATAGAAATTACCTCTTTATTTTATTTATTGATTGATTTGTATCCTGCCCATCTGGTCTATACGACCACTCTAGGCAGCTGACTCGGCACATAGTGGCCAAAATCCTGTTGGCATAAGTTTTGATATGCTCCTTGGTAATTAAATTAAATGCCGCCACTGACTCTTGGGCCTGTGTACTCAGACATTAAGACAGCATGTGCACCCACCCCTGGGAATTGTAGCAGGGGCGCTTTATTTACTTGTGAGAAACAGACCAAAACTTTGTTTACATTATGCAATAAGATTTTGGCCAACAGATAATGTCTGTGGTGGTTTCTTAACTTAAGGCAATTCACGTCCAGAAGTTACCCCATTAGCAGCACAAAATTTTTCTGGCAGTGTATTTATGACAACATTTCTTATAAAATCAAGTAGTACTGATTGTACTTGATTGATTGTTGTGCTCAAACATCTGTACTGATGCCTGCGGTGTGCCTAGTTTTTTCATTCATTTTAAGTACCTAAGAAAGAATTATTGTGGATCAGGCTAAAGACCATTCTTGCTCACCAGTTCTCTGAAGGAAGGTGACCAGCAAAATGTCATTACAAGGCTAAAACCGAAGAGTGAACAAACTGTGTAGGGCTCTAGAAGGAATTTTCTGTATATGTGTGATGAAGAAACAGAATGGCAGACAAGCTTAGCTTTAAAGTAATATGCATTGATAAATTAACCTAAGGACCAGTGATATGTAGCAAGAGAGATTGCTAGATGAAACGGTCAAAGGTTGCTTGGATATTAAGGAGTGTGTGTTATGCCATGCTTATTTGTTTATTGTTTCAATTGCCCCACAGTGCTAGAGCACTCTTTGGATGGTTTACAACATAATAATGGAAAAAACATATCTCCCACCCACTCACCCAAGTGGGCTGAGTTAACCTTGAGTTGGCTTCCTGTACCTGTTGGGATCAAACTTGGGTTGTGAGCAGAGGCTTGACTGCAATATTGCTGGTTGTTGAGGCAAAGTAACACTGTACCTAATTATACGGGCTGGGAATTTCCCTCTCACCTCTTATCATATGGCAGCTGCTAGCAGTTTTGGCTAGCTAATCAGCTGCCAACTACTTTGTGTTACTTAGAAGCTGACTGGTTAAAACACTGGCAAAACTAAAGATTATGGAGATGTTAGGCAGGTCAGTGTACTCTGTCAGTAACAGAAACAAGTGTAGTGATAGAATTTATTAGGCAAGTGTTCAGAACTGAAACCAGATACAGTATCACACCAAAGAGATATCACTGAAGTAAGTGGCAAAAGCAGGAAGTTGTATTTTAGATCTCTTGCTCTGGCTCACAAGATAAAAGCAGAGGTGTTTCCTAGATTTCTGGCTGTATCTCAGTGCTGATATGTGTAGGGCTTTTCACAGGTGTAGGACCCAGAACTACCAGAATAAAACATGACAATGGATGCTATGGTTATTTGCAGTGAGATCCACGACTGTACCTTCTGCAGGTCTTGGGAGATTTTGAACAGTACATATGAAGACTAGATTTCTGTGAAACTTTTCACAAGACGTCAAAATAATTTCCTATTTTGTAAAACAGGAATGCTATCTTTATATTGCCCTGACTTTTGTGCCTTTTAGCACTGTTAAAGGTTCAACTTGCTATTTTCAGCTGTTACGTGTTCTGGCTGTCCCTTGTCCAGTTCAGCCAGTCTAGGGTCAGCAGCTTCATTTGCCTGTCTGTGTGGTAGAAGTAGGAATTACATCAAAATTACGTTTTAGTTGTCCTGATCCAAATTAAATAAGGTAAATAAAAATATCTTATGTTATCAGTTGGTATGAAAGATTTCAATTCCAGTAAATTATTAATTCCACACATTAAAAAAGATCCCTAGAATAAGAGGATGATACAGTTTTAAAAGTCATGGTTGTTATGGGAAGAATATTACTATTGATAAACATACATGGTGCTAATAAATAAAATGAGCTGCCAGTGTGGTTTTATAGACAGATGGTCAGAGTAGGACTCAGATGAATGGGATTCAGATCCTTGTTTGCCCTTAGAAACTCTGTGGGGGTGTGTGGCAATGGTAGCCCACCCCTTAAATACCTCGCATATCTTGGAAGCCCTGTTTAGAATCTCCGTAAGGTGGATGTAACTTGATGGTGCATAACGACAGTAAATAAAATGGAAAGCTGAGTGCCTAAGGCAGGGGGAACACATTCTGAAAATGAAGGTCATGAAAGTTATAGACAGCAGCATGCAAAGCCAAGCGGGGTATATCAACATGACAGAAAAATTGTAGTAATATTTACATGCCATCAAGCTGGATCTGACTCCTGGCAGCCCTTTCCAGCATTTTCAAAGCTATAGAATAATCAGAAATTGTTTACAGTTCCCTTCTTGTGGGAGTGCTCTGGGATGAGTGCAGCTTTCCCAAGGTCACTCAGGCTGGCCACTGTCCTGTGAGACCCAAAGGGAAGTCACACTTCCAACAACTGGCTCTGCAGCAGGGTGAGTTTGATTAAAATCATGATTAACTTTTTTTGAATCAGGTTTTTTCACAACTTGAATCCAGAAATCTTTGTTTTGACATTTAAATCATGATTTGAACTGAACCAATTTTTGATTTTCATCCACTCTGCACTGCAGCCAGGTACCCAACTCAAATGAGCTATCCAGCCAACATGGTATAATTCCATACTTGGTCACAGCACGTTGCCAGCATAAAAACCTTGCACAGGCAACTAAGTCAGGTTATAAAGTGTGCATCATGGTCTCACACTGTGCTAGTCTCACATTGTGCATACATAGAGGTCGCAAGAGGGAACTCTTAAGTGGCAGGAAGCTGTGGACAAAGTGCTCTTCATACCGGGAGGAAGCACTCTGAAACACACCTGTATTCACAGAACATGAGGATGTAAGCACATTTTTAACATCTCTGCCTGGAAACCAAAGAGGTATCCCACTTTGGGACTCAAGGCATAAAAGCTGAACCCTGTGCTCTGCTGGATTCCATTAGTTACAAGAGCAAAGATAGAATATCATCTGGGTAAGCAAGGCAATGAGGAACATGTGCTCTCATGTGTGAGCACTCCAGCTGTCTTTCCTGACTCTAGCCACCCACTTTGCCATATGTGAATACTGTGTCTTTTTGGAATTGTACAGCTTTAACACTTCCTAGCCCTCAAACAGCAGAGAAGATTCTTTCTGCCCCCCCTCCCCCGGCAAGCTCTCTGTTAGCAGAGAGCAACATGTATGGAGTACAACGATTATCCCTTGACCATGCAATGCATCCCTCCAATTCCAGAAGGAAAATAATGTTCCCATAGTTACTGTAGTTTTCCCTCTCTGCTGTCCACTCCAGCAAGGAGGCAGGATGATGAATCTCTGTTCTCAGTTGCTGAGTAGTCAGCAGCACAGGGAGGCTGGGATGCCCCAACCAGGCTGCTTCCACAATTGGTGTGATGTTTCTCTCTTGGGAGACAAATATGAATACTGTATTTCCTCTCTCGCCTACACTGACTGTAACTTACTTTAGCATAGCACATTGCAGTTGGAGTAGATCCATTTGAATCTATGGAACTTATGGCATTGACCCAGTCAATCCTTTCAGAGTTGCTGAGTTTACTCTAGTGTAATTTACTATGCTAAGCCACAGAATTTTGGCTGCTTCGTGTTGTGCATCTCCTGTGCTCATACTTCACTCTTCAACAGGTAGAAATGGCCAGCCCTATATCCTGTTCCATGTAGAACAGAAGGGAGCCCCTAGCAGTGAATAGGATACTCCCAGCAATGTTCCTGTTGGATTTTTTTGACTTCCTGGCCTCAGATGGGCTCATATTCCTTTGTATGCTCTAGGACAACTCAGTGATGCAACAGGTGAAGGTGTTCCTAGCAAGGCGGTGGTATCATCATCAGGCACACTGTCTGTGGTGTCTGTTGGAGTATTGGGCACAGGATCTTTTCCACATAGGATCTACTTCATCCTAGGTGCTACTCATACAAACATATTGCTGGTTTGCCTTTTGCCTTTTCTCACATGCTATGTTCTGGTTTCAGCTGGTGTCAAGATGGAATGGGGTGGGGGTTACACTGGAGCAGGTTAGTGCCTCCCCTCCTTTTCCTGTGTAGTATAAGATGGCAGATCAGTCCATATATATACAGTGGGGTCTTGACTTAAGAACAGCTCGAGTTAAGAACATTTTGACTTAAGAACCGGTCTCGTAGGAAAATATTGACTTGACTTAAGTACTTAGATTTGAGTTAAGAACTGAAAAAAAAACCACATGGGAGGCAGGGAAAGTGCAAAATTTGAACTTTCAGTTAACTGTTGGCCAGTGAAAAGGGTGCCTGTCTGCTTCCTCACTCCTCCCAGCGTTTAGAGAGTGGATTGGGAGTCTTCAGACTGCCTGGTACTGCCTGGACTGTATTTTCCCTGCCTTCCCTGAACCTTTCTTGACCTAAGAAAAAAAGAAACATAATATCCCCCTCTAGTGGTCGAAGGCAGAGTAGCAGCTTCCCATTAGTGTCTATGGACGGAAAAGAACAGATACGGATCAAATGGTTTTCAATGCATTCCTATGGGAAATGCAGATTAGACCTGAGAACTTTTTGACTTGAGAACCGCCTTCCAATACGGATTAAGTTCTCAAGTCAAGATCCCACTGTACCTGAAATGCCAGCTGCCACTAGAATGTATATGGGAGTCAGAAGGGCGATGTTAAGAGGTGATAGTGTAGGTCTAGCCTACTTGGATGCTACCCAAAACAACTGGCCTATTGGGCAACATAGAGAGGAGGTAAACAGTCTGGTTGGCCCATGCAGGGCCAAGCTGTTTGGCGGCAGTGTACCTAGGAGTCTTCTTTCCCATTTCTTGGTATATGGTTCTGGTATAGATTTGAACTAGGTTTACTTACTGTCAGAGTTACCTCTGGCATGTAAGCTGTTTGACCAGGTTAGAGCTCCTCCAGTAACCTTTGAGTCTGGTCCTCTGTGACTGGGACTTCAACCGAGAATCATGGAGAAAATGAATGTCCCATGGTATGTCTTTTACCATAGCAGAATGATTAGGGAGCTGCTTTATGAAGTTTGCAGTGTGGTTTTCAGTTCCAGGAGCAGCTGCTCTTTTGCCCCTGACATACTTTTCTCCCTACAAGCAAAATAGGAGTAGAGCCATGCTTTTTTCTCCCAATGGGGCTCAGAAACCCATGCTTCCCAACCCTGAGTGGTGTGTATCAGCTGCTAGAGAGTGTTTCAGCCAGTCTGGCTGTGCACATGTGTCCTAATCCTTCCTTTGCTTTGCAAAAATGTTTCCTCCCTTAGGTGGGACTTGGACCTTTTTCCCAGAGGGGGCGCTGAATGCTCTTGACAGACCCCCTGCTCAGGCTGCTGTGCAGACACTGTGCTTGTTGACTCTCCTTTATCCCCTTTGAGTATATGTTGCATTCCAAAACAATGATTGTGGTGGACATAAGTGATTTGAATCCCTGGGGACTAAATGCCTAATCTTTCATACTTATATTGTGTAACTGATTCACCCCCCTTAATTAAGCATGCATTTGATATATAGTGGTGCCTCGCATTACGAGCTCTCCGTTTGACGACAAAATCGCTTTACGTCGATGTTTTTGTGATCGCAAAAGCGATCGCAAAACGATGTTCCCTATGGGGGAATTTCGCTTTGCGATGATTGGTCCCCTGTTTCGGTAACCAGTCATTGCAAAGCGATGATTTTCGCACAGCTGATCGGCGGTTTCAAAATGACCACCAGGGAAAAAAAAATGGCTGCCTGCTGTTTTCTGGCACGGATTCCTCGCTGCACGGGCAGCGAAAATGGCCACGCTATGGAGGATCTTCGCTGGCCGGTGAGTTTGGAGCCCCTAGGAACACATTAATCAGGTTTTAATGCATTTCTATGGGCTTTTTAAAATTGCATGACAACGTTTTCATTTTACAGCAATTTTCGCGGAACGAATTAATGTCGTCATGCGAGGCACCATTGTACTGTATGGCTATTCTGCCAACATAGCAATGGTGTATCTTCTATTCTAGCATAAAGCCAGTGTAGAATTATTCTGCTTGTAATGATATAAAATTGCAGATCTATTTGGATTCAGTACATGTTATGTGAAATCAAACAGCATGTACTTGATACAGTTGAAAAGATGCAACATTTGAACATCAAAATGTGATTTTTTAAAAAAAGTTAGTAAAAACACTGAAATGGTTATTGTTACTATATGTATCTAACATATTTAAGGACACAGTGCATAAAGATAGCTTCTTTAAAATGTAAATATGTAATATCTAGGGTTTTTTTTTAAACGAAAGAAATAAAGCAGAATACAGGTATTGGAATATATCTGCAGCATTGCAACTGCATAGGCCTTTCAACAGTAAAAATAACTGTAGGAATAATAGGAGAAGACAAGCATAATGCCGTTAAAACCAGATTGGTTGTCAGCATTCCTACAAATATGATGTGATTTTCCCCTTTCTTATGTATTCTAATGTGTTGGAAAATGTGCAGTATTACAAAATACCATTTATGCACATTTACTCTGTAGTTGAATGGTCATCTAAGTGATATGACTGGTTCTGTTAAGCAGTATTGTTTTGATATCTTTAGCTGTGTTTTGATATCTTTTGCTGTATGGGAAAATGAGAGGATAAGGGTATTTAAAAATACATTATTCTATGTGTTATGGGATGTACTTATACTGTATGTGATTTAATATTGTTATGTCATATTGGTTTATTTTGTGATTGTATGCATCAGAATGTCTTTTCACAATTTAGTTTGAAGGTACAATATATAGATCATTCAGCATTACACTTAATTGGCTATTCTAAAAGTGATGTTGACTTTTTTCAAAAATCAGAATGTTGTGTTCAGAGAAACTCCAAAAAGGGGAAGTTGTTACTGACCTCTGCACAATTCTTAATATTGGGGGGGGGGCATTGAAGTGGCATAAAGAAAATGGCCAGAATCCTATTGGTTATTTACACTAGCACAGGTTTAGTGGCTTAAATCACAGCAATAAACTGTTGCTAGTGAATTGGTTGCTACTTGGGTTCTTTGTTACATGCCAAGTTACACCAGTAGTACAAAGTTATAAATACAGGCCATGGTTCATTAACTAGTGATTCTCCACTGTAATTTTCACCACTGCACTTTGACTGGCTAATAAATTATCTGCTGAAAGGAAATGCGGGGGGGGGGAATGAGGCTATGCACAAAGGATTAGACAGAACTAACAGTTTTACTCCATAGAAACAGAAGAAGCTCATAAAAGAAAGTAGTCAAGGACTTCTACAAATCCAAATTCCTTGGATCTTGCTTTGTAACATGTTAACAGATCATTTAAGAAATCAGCCAACCTTCCAATGTCTCTCATGTGTTAAAATAGCCATCTGTGTGAAGGATAGAGTGTCAGACTAAGACTCCGGAGACCTGGGTTCCTTTCTCAGCCATGTAAATTCACATGGTTGGGGGGAGCTATAGTACTGATAAACAACTCTTTAGATATCGCCTACCTTGAAAACCCTGTTAAGGTCACCATAGGATCCAGATTCAAATGAATGACACATAACAACTGCATTTGTGCATGGTTGCAGTCAAGCAGAGAAAGATTTGTGTAGATTAATAAAAATGTGCTACTGAATTTGCAGTGTGGCTGTATTTAAAATGAGCCATCCTTTGATGAGGGAGAACATGTGGGAGTGTAACAATTATGATGTGATTTGTTGTCTTTCAGGGAACATGAGAAAGAGGTGCAAAATCGGAAGAGGGGCAAGCGACCAAGAGGAAGACCTAGGAAAAACATTGTAAGTAATGGTAGCTTCTGGGAGAAAGCTCTAAGCTGAGCTATAGCTGGGCATTGTGGGGTATGTTTGCTTGGGCTCAAGACATGCTTCTTGTGCTCTAATGGGTAAGAATCTCTTGTGTAATCTGGCTAGATCCTATATTGTGGGGGACGTGACACTCTCCATGGGAAACCAGAAAAATACATAACTAATGTCTATGTTAATGTCAATATCCTTATTGAAGCAACTGAAAGCAAATATCATGTACTCAAATTTGAAGAACAAAAAGGTGTCCACATAATAAAACTGGAATGTACTTATTCTAACCTTACTTAAGATAATACAGCTATACACAACACTCGGAGGTTAGGATGCTAGGGAAGAGAACCAGATGCAGCCAGCCTTTGTTAGCAACAAAAAATAGCCATCTGCTTTAGCCACTTTCCTGTTACAGGCTAGATCTGTCCACTTCAATAGACTTGTCAGCTGGACACCCAGATTTTTTTACTGGCAGTAGTACTGAAGGAGTACGTACTTCATAGTAGTAATGTTGCTCCCATTGTATTGTTTTTTGTCTTTAACTTTGTGTTTAAAGGAACCTGAGGTGCCCTCAAAGAGCAAATCCAGCAGTTCTTCCTCCTCAACGTCCTCCTCCTCTTCCTCTTCTGAAGAGGAGGATGAAAGTGACCTTGAGGCAAAGAGAGCCCAGCGGAGCAGAGAGAGTCACCCGGTGCCTCAAAAGAAAGCTCAGATTCTTGTGGCCAAACCTGAGAACAAGGAGCCCGCGAGGAAGAAGCGCGGGCGCAAACCATTGCCTCCAGAGCAGAAGGCAGCAAAGAAGACCGTCAACCTGACCAAGGTGCTTAAAACGAACCGGAAGGACATGGGAGCAGGAGGGGGACCCAAACTGATCAGCAAGATGCAGCTGCCGCCGCACAGCGCTCAGAGTTCCGGCATTGCCATGCTTAAATCCCACATGAAGGAAGCCCAAGGTGCGTTGGGTGGCTTCTGTTCCGGAACGCCTGCCACTGAGAAGCTCTCTGGCATTGTGAAGAGCACCTCGCCTGGAAGCCCAAACTGTGGCATCAGCTGGCAAAGCTCCATTGTGCATTATATGAACAGGATGTCCCAGAGCCAAAACTCAGCAGATGCCTCCCCTGTGGGAAGGCTGGCTGTCAACAGTGGCCTAGGGCTGGACTTGAAACTGAAAAACCAGAAAGGGGCTGGGGATCTGGAGTTGACCATGCAGGGGTCCAAAGTGACTAAGAGGCCCAGCGGCAGTGCATTGGGGGAACAGAAGACAGGGTACGGGGTCGGTGCTCAGAATTTGCACAATGGCAATAAAGTTCCTGCTGGCTCTCCCAGCAGCCAGCCAGCCTCCAATCAGGAGATCAATCTCCAAGCTTTAAACCTGCAGAGCGTGAAAAACGGGCCGAGCTCCACTAGCAGCAGCAGCCTTTCTCGCCACAGCTGTGGGACTGTAGCCAAAAGCGGCGGCGGCGGCAGTCTAGCAACAAGCATAGGTGCAGCCAAAGGGAGTGGGGCTGGTGGTGGGAGTCCAAATGCTGCCACTGCAGGGTCAGTGTTGATGGACCCAGAAACTCGCAAGAGTGAGAAGTCAGGGGTGCAAAGAACAGCCACTGACAAGAGAGATCCAACCACAAAAGGCCCATGTGCCCAGGAAGGATGTCCTGCCGCAGAAAATCACAAGACTTCAGCTCTCTCAGAGGTCAGCACCGGAGAGGAGGAGACGAGCTCTGACTCCGATAGAGACTCTGCTTCTTTCCCCGGAGGAGGCCAGAACATGTCTGTCTCCATCCAGACTAGCCAAGACTGGAAGCCCACTCGCAGCCTCATTGAACATGTCTTCGTCACAGATGTGACTGCTAATCTGATCACAGTCACTGTCAAAGAATCTCCAACCAGTGTTGGCTTTTTTAATCTCAGACATTACTGAGCTCTGAGCCATGCAAGGGAAATATTTCCCCTCTCAGTCTGGCTCAACTGGCTCTACCTGATGGTTGATTCAGATGCCAGAAAAAGGGGTGGGGGTGGGGGTGGGGGTGGGGAAGCCCAGCTGCTACTGTCCCTTGTAAGCTATATGCCATTAAATGAGAACTCTGTATTGGAAGACTCTGTAGATGTTGGCCTTGGTAGCTTTTGGCTTCTGCTAGTGTTATCTGTGGAAACATCCTGAAGCCTATAGGGAATTCTTCTTGGGTTCCAAGATATTATGCAGCTGCCAATCAGTATGTAGAGAAGGGCTTTGAGACTCTTCCCCCCCCCCCCCCGAAACCCCATGAGAATTGGCTTTAGTTGTTGGAAAGAGGAAGTTGGGTGCTAGCTTCTAGCCCTTCCCCACCCCCTGTACTTGGGTTTCTTAGCTTTATCCTTTGAAATAGCAGAGACTGGATATCCAACTGCCAGATAGGCTGCAGAGAGAAGTCCTAAAAATAAACCTACCAAACAGTAACATGAAGGAAAATGGTTCTTTGCTTTTCCAACAAACAATCCAGATCTTGTCCATGGTGAGTTAAACACAAGCTAATCTTGGAAGTAAATCTTTACATTTAGGACATCTGCAAAGGGGCAGAAGAAATGAAAACATGGTATGCCGTGCTTCTGAAGCTAAGGTAGTTTGAAGAAGAGGCATAGCCCCCTGAGCATTTGAGGGGTTGGGCATAAAGAACACAGGGGACTCAGGTTGAGCATTTGAAGGGAACTGAGCTATCTGGAAATCCTTGTACTGCAGTAGACAGGAAATAATCAGGAGAGGGAGGCAGTTTTGGAAATTTTAAGTACCAAATCTTTCCATGAACACAGCATGCCCTTTCATTTGCCACATGCTACCATACACCACTCAGTGGAGAACACAGCCTTCTTTTCCTCATCAATACCTCTGTATGTGTGATTGTGCATACATAGGAGTATCTCACACATTAGAGAATTTAGGTGAAAACAAAATAAAAATAAAAGGCAAAAAAGAGAGAAAAAAACATAGTGGCACCTTAAATACTAACTTTTATATTTTTTAACATGACCTTTCATAGACAAGTCCGCTTCATCAGATTGTCCATGAAAGCTCACGTTAAATATATATAAGTCTAAGATGCCACCACATTTTTGTCTCTTATTTTACCTTTTTAAAATTTCATTTTCACCTATAATGCTTGCACAGACTAACATGATTATCCTTCTACAACTGTTCGAGAATTTGACAAGGAAAGCATGTGTAAAATGTCGTGCATGTTGCATGCAGGTCATTTTTAAAACCATATAGTGAAGTTCTGTATGTATGCGGTCAGTATTGGCTCCCCACAACCATAGGAAAAGAATTGTTCATGCAGTAATGATAAATGGTATCCAAACCAGTTGCATGGTGTTTCTTACAGAGAAGAAACAGAAAAGCAAGACTGATACAGAAGTGTTCTCAGAAAATGGTGTAAAGTATGAACAGCCATTGAGGGCCTTTGATGTTTAGAGAAAGATTTGGGTTTCTGTCAGACTTGTACCCTTGCCTCTGACTTAACCATTAAGTATCCCATAGATGTAATGTTCAGTTGGAGATTCCATTTCCTCGTTTTCTCCTGTCCTAGGCATTGGAACTCCATAGCCCTATTCAAGCATCCTTTTCTCCACATTGAGAAGGGAGTGTGTGCTTCAGCCCCAGCTCCTCCTGCCTTCCCAGTATTGGAGGAAAGGCTTGAAAAGGAACTGTAATCATATCTGGCTGAATGTGACTCCAGAGCTCCACTCTCTGTGCTCAAAGAGAAATGATGGATGAATAGGCTAAAGTCTTGCATCCCTCTGTGACATAGTGCTAATCTTCAGACATAGTGGGGATTGAAAGTTCTCCTTACGTTTGTTTAGCTGAAATAAGAATTTACAGTGACACCATCCTTCAACTGGACACCAGTCCACGAAACCAGGGGCGGGTGGGCTGGAAAGCAGCTTGAGACCAATATTTGCCCTTCAGTTAAATTTACCAGGATATAGATCAGTTTAGATATATCCCGAAGCAAATGTTTCCTGTAGGTCAAAAGCTGTATGCCACTTGGGGCTAGCACTAAACAGAATATTTGGCTCTGACCTGAGTTATCTTATTTAACCAGAACTTTGATAAGCTCTTTAGATGAATTCCCAAGCCCACAGCATACTAAGAGGGGAGATACAGGAAGGAGTAAGAGATGTGGCTGAATTATTCCCAAAGAAATGCCCTCAAACCTTGGATTCTTCTACAAAGACTAATACAGTCACAGGGCACATTGGCATTAAAATATTTTTGATTAGAGCCAATGCAGACAACAGGTGATATCTCTTAACTTGCTTCTGAAAAGGAGGCAGATGGTTTGCGCATCTTGGCCTATTGTTTATATATCATGCATACTGGTTTGCAGGTTTTTGGATCTTTTGAAACCAATGTTTTGCCCTTGTTTAAACGGAAGAGGAGGAAAGGGCAGCCTGAAAACTTGCATCACTAAATGGGTGCCTGCAGTTGATTTGAGTGATTCTACTTCAGAAATGGATAGCTGGATTTATCTAAATTTTATTGTATAGAAATAAATGCCATGGTAAATCCAGTGGCATTCATTTCCATTTAGCTGCATTTAAAATTGGGGTGAAGATTTCTATTGATATTGTGTTGTAAGAAGTGTTTTTATAATAACACAGTTCCTGGTTCCTCTTGCCAACTCATTTCTGCCTCTGAAGTATGGAATAGAATAAAGTGGTGAAAGTTGACTAGGTAATTCATGCATTTTCTGGTAGCAAAAACAGTCAGCTTTCCAATTGTTCAGAGAGATTGGTTCTCCCAGACAGCACACAGATGGACCTCCATGTTTATTTAGTGGCAATGGCATCATAAGAAGGTACCTTGGCTGCATCTAAAGTAAGCAGAGATCTGTAGGAATGTCACTTGTTCTAATATAGTGGTCAACTTGAGAATTCAGCTATCTGTATAAATGGTAATGGAGCACGACATATACTTTGAATACAAGTACACAGAGATGGGGGGGGGAATCTTCCTTTCATCTTCTCCACTCAAGTGCCCTCCTTTTGTGTGTTGAGCCTGTGAATTGCTATATAACTATCTCATAGAACAGTGAATGACTCAGGAGACATGGCTTCCTGTTTTCTCTGTTTTGGGAGCTGTATTTGTTTTACTCTAATATTAGAACCCTTAAGACCTGTGTGGGTTTAGCATATATGATTTCTTCCCCCCCCCCGGCAAGCAAGGAAACAGTCTCTTCCATTCTGAGTGGCATAATGTAACAGTGTGTTGGTGCTTCTGTCTTTTTTGTTTAAGCTCAAGCCAGGGGATTCTGCATGTAGGCAACGAAGTGAAAACTTGATAAAACTTGGCAAGTTTGGGCTTGGACAAATAAGCTGCTGAGGTTATTTCTGTGCTTTAGATAGAACTGGCTGGTCCCTGCTTTCGTATTAAAGATGATGGATCGACAAACTGGTGGTACCTGCTACCTCACTGTCATTGCTGGATGTAAACTATTACCACATTTAGCATTTGTAAACCTTAATTCCCTTTAACCTCTATGGCGTGCCTATTTAGAAGGATCTGCTTGCAGTGGTTTGAGGCTGTTGCCACAACTAGGTGGGTGTTCCTGTTTTTCATGGAGTGCCAAGGTTCTCAAGCAAAGTGAAGGGAAGAGAGTTCATACCCACTTGATGCTTGTGCTAAATTGGCTGGGCGGCTCTCGGTTAGATGTACCATCTTCCTCTTTTTGTAGAGGACGTTGTCTTCTCACAAGTGAGAGAAACAACAAGACTGGTTTCTGGTGAATTAATGGGGCATCTTGTTCTTTAGAAGGTGCCCATTGATGCAGTCTGAGACATCAGGAGTGACATTGCCTCCATTCAGCCACACTGTCTTCAACAATATATCTTAGGCCCTAGCTATAGTACAGTATGTGTGTGTGTGTACATATACACATATGCCTGATCTTATACTGTACTCCCAGTGTTGCAGCTTGCACCACATCTATTCTGCTCTAGTGCACCCTGTTTGGCTTTGTTCTAACCTCTGTTCCTAGCCTGTGCAGCTGCTCATTTTCAATATGCTTACTCTCCTGTTGTAAATTTAAAGTGCAACAGGTTCCCTGTTTGCTAGGGTGCTGTGTTTTTCAAATTTCTGTGCTGTCGCTTTGCAGCACTTGACTCTGGTCTTCGGGCAGTGCCATTGTCAACAGGCATTTTAATATTCCTTTGCTTGCTTGGAAGACCGAAAGGCCTGTTGCTGTCTTTCTCTTATTTAGAAGCTCTAAATGCTGTGCCTTTCTGTTAACCAGCTACTTCAGTCCCAAAGTCTGTAATCTTGAAAACACCTTACCTTAACCAGGAAAATGGTCCACAAGTTTCTGATAACTTGAGTTGGCTCCATGAGTTGCTAGGTGTTAAAGTGAGCGGAACATTTAAAAAATATAAACAAATTGGCATCTCATAGGCAAACTGCATTTGAATTCACAGTTAAATTTAATCAATTGATTAAATGTTAGTGTTCAAAACCAATCTTTATGAGGAGGGGGGGTTCTTAAGTTTGCTGCTATTTGTCCATGTTTTAGTTGTGTGGCAAACTTAAAACGATACTGCTATATTTCTCAAATTATGAATCATTTGGGGAAAAAAAAACTGAACGGTGCTACACCTTTTGTATTTCAGTTGGATGTTGGCCTCTCCCACCAAGGATTTGATTGAAAGAAGTGGTCAGTTTTAGTCCCCTAGTTTAAAAGAAGTATATACAATATCAAACACACACATACATAGACATCAGATTTCCTTTGTATGGGACAGTCCGATAACATTCAGCGTATTCAGTTTTGAGTTCAAAAGAAATAGCTTTCACAAGATGGAAACTTGTGAAAATTGGTTCACTGCTTCTTGTAATGTGTGTCAATCACTGTGTGTTTAATTTTTAAAAAGCCAAATAGTTCTTGTATGACATTTTCTAATTGCTTTAACTAGAGCTGCTTCTTTGCTTTTGTGCTAAGAGAACAAAAGTTGGAGATGTTGTTACCCTGGGAAAGCTTAGGTTCTTT